AATTTTATCCAGTTCTTTGCAAATTATTTCGTTTTGTATATTTTAAGTGTATTTGAACTTTTCTTCAATTTTCGATATTCCGAAAGTAGTCTTTTCCTTATATTTTCGTACACAAGTTGTAAAATATCTTTCACTTCATCTCACAAAGGGAGTACAGTGAAAAAATTGTAGAAGATTCTTTACATAAATATTTGTCAAATTTTAAAGAGACAGAGTTTTTGCATTATGGATTTTTGAAAACAAAAGTGTGTAATAATACTATGATAAAAACGAATGTGCCTGTGTCTGTTACTTTTGTAATTGTTTTTTAGTAAACCTCGTATGTTTCACTTTGCCCCTAGTTTCACCATATTTGAAAAGGCATTAGCCTCACCAAAGACAAAACTAATAATTATAAATTACATGCAATGTTACGTAAAAAATTACTTCGGGAAGTAATCTGGTATCGAGTGGTATTTTCCTAACACTAATGGTAAAACAATATTGGTTACAACTTGCAGTGAAAAATCGTTACACAACCAAATGAAAAGTTCTAACGATTACGTTCTAGGTTACTCTGAAACAACGTCACAGGTTACACTATTTCGTGTTGATTATTATATTTTAAATAACGACGAGATAATCTTCGAAATATTTTATGCACCCACACTGTGATATCTTCTTTACTCGAAAATTAAAATACGTTTTAAAGTAACATGTTTACATCTATCACTCTGTTTTTATCTTTACTAATCGAAAATCTAGGGCTTCGAATATTAACAAACGAAAACTTGTGCACATCTCTGGTAAATTAAAAAGTAATCATTGCAATAATGCTTTTCGTCTTAAATATAGAATATATTTCTATTTCGAGAAGAAATTTCCAATTGCAATTAGTGCAGTTTTTGGGAACGTTTCTCTCAGGAGCGTGTTACACAATTTCAGCTCGTTGATATTCAAGGTGAACACCCTTTTTTTTTATATGAATAACGATGAGAATATCTTTACTTTTCTTTATTTTCTGGCTGAAATTGGCGGCGATAAACAGTGGGTTCTGCTTCTTTCGACAGGACAAAATCAAGTGTAAATATCGACTTCGTATTTGATACGATTACCTTGATCTTACGGAAGAAATCGTTCATTTTACAGAAACCGAGGGAAAGTGGCGACATTGAATTTATTAATGCCAAGGAGGTACAAAAATAAACTAGGCAATTAAAAAAATTCGTACAATTTTTGTAGAATCTGTTTTCGAAGGTACGAGGGTGAATTAACAATTATCTGGATTAAGTCGATCATTTTTTACCGAGATTATTATTGCGAGTTATCTGCATCTCTCTCTAGTTTAGTGTTAACTAGATTTTTGAAGACGGTAAATTTAAATAATTTTTATCACGAACACCTCTATCAAATTACGTATGCATTTGCGGCATATGGCTAACGTGTGGAAAATGTCATGCACCGTGTACGCTATTGAATGAATTTCCGTTTACCGGATGAAGCTGTTTAGGCCTTAAAGAGTTTTGTGATGTTGCTTCAACTATTCCGACTTTTTCACGGAAATGCAACAAAGGTCTGCTGCAGCAATTAGCGGAAATTACTGTGATTGTACAAATCCTATTTTACGTAACACCACTTTTTAATCATAAAATTTTACCATTATGTCGACTGTCACGTATGTTTGAGAAATATTATCTTCTTCATACTGAAATATTTTTTAATAATTAAGTGTTGGCGTTGAATTTTGTCGAAGAAACTTTGAAACGAGTGTCCTTTAAGTAGCCAAAAATTGTGTAACACAGATGTTCAATAATTTGTATTGTTAATTGTAAAGTTATTTCTTTGAATCACAGTGAAATCCTTGAAATTTCGATTACGATAATCAAAAATTTTCGAATGGAGAAAAATACAATTTTCTAACGTTCAATTTCGAATTACAACTTCAATAGTCAATTAGCTGCTGCTTTATCTATTCGAGGTTTCATCGATATCCGAAAAGAAAAGAAACGAACTAATTGCTTCACTGCAACTTTATGCAAAAACGTACGATAAATGCGTTCATGTTTTTATGGAATGTAAACTTAGCTACTCTTTGTTTAAACGATGCGCATAATTATCAGCAACGTTAACACGAAGCAAGGTGTTCCATTTTTTAGTCCTCGGTTCAGTTGTGTACCTTTAGGGAGATTTCAACGTGTATATAAAGTACCATGACACAATGAACTGTAGCGTCACTCTGGTTTGGACTGTTTCACACGAAGGCCGACTCGTTCTTTAAATGTGAAGAGCTGAGCAAGTCTGGACACAACATTGAACTCAAGTAGCCTCAGTTCTTCGTTTCTTCTTGATCGCTGCGGTTCTACTTGCGATCCGGCGAACGGAATTCAAGACGAGAAAAAGGTAAGGTACCACGATTCCAAACTTCCAGAGAAACTATAAAAATTCTTCTTCGAATCTTCTATCCATAGGTATATTTTTCGTTTTTTTTTTTTATATTCAATTTAATAGAAATATTGTAACTTTTTGAATTTTTTCATTCGTATATTTCACTTAAGAGGGAAACTGTAGGAAGCACTTTTTTCCAATTATTTCATTCATACGTTTTTCGTGTTTCTTTTCGTTTAATTTAACAGGGCTGCTGTAAGAAGAGTCGCATTTAATTTCTTTTATTAATATCTGTAATAAAAATGGCACACTACGAATTTGTATATTTTTACACTGTCTCGTATTACTGTCACCATTATTTAGCAATTTACGTGGTAAGATTTAATAGCAAAGTGATGTTTTAGAGTCTTTGTTTGATAATTCCCATTACGTGCACGGACTACAGCATAGATAGAATAATTGCAGACTATTCAACTGCATTTTCTTGTCAGTTATACCTACCGCTCTTATGGCATAAAAGTTGAATAGCAAACTCGAGTTACAGTATAATTACATTTTCATTAAAATAGTGTATTAACAGTTTGTATGAAAAAGATAGATGAAAAAATGTAAGAATATTTGTTTATATTAAGAATATTGTTTATTATAAGAATATTTATTTTATAAAGATGAGAAAGATTTCATTCAGTGAGAAATTGAAAGAGTTATTTTAAAGGAGAAGTTTCGCAGTACTGTTACCGAATTAGAGTTACAGTTACATCCTCGGGGCATCTTACAAAAATGTTTCGCAACACATTTTATTTACTAACGGTTGCACAAACCATGGGTGACATACATCGAGTTTGCGTACACGAGATTTGTTCGTGTATACAAGGATTTCACTGAAGAATTTAACGCTGCGTAACAGATTAAAAATTAAATTAAATCTCACACTTCTCTATAGTTTACTTTACATTTTCATTTGAAATAATAAAATGATATGTTTCAAAACGAAGTATATTAATTTTACTTTGATTTTTTAAATATTAATATCGAGGTCCAGAGGAAAGGTAGCTTCGTATTTAGGTATTCAGAACTTTAAACATTTGTCTTAGGTAGAGAAAAATTAATTAGAAACGTACGAGCCGGTCTTTTACATAAGATATTACGATAGCAGACATCAAAGTACCGAACTGAAGAATATTTGGTAATCTGAATAATTTTTTGCGAAATATAAAATGGGCGAAACGTTGAAAGTTGACGATGGGAACAACACTATTTTACAGCTAATTTCACTTATCACAATTCACAGATATGAAATTTCGATTACAAGTGACCCGTGACGTTCGACATTCTTTCTTTTGCAGACATGCGGGTCATTTTGTTAATCGCGTGCCTCGCGGTGGCAAGTTGCCACGAATTTAAAACAATTCACTCGTGGAACTATGTCGAGTTCAACTTTCCAAATGCGACTATTCAAAATACACTAACGGCCAACGGTGAATATGTTCCTGAGAATAATATGCCTCTCGGTGTACAAGTCTGGGAGGACAAAATATTCATTACTGTGCCACGGTGGAAGAACGGAGTCGCGTCTAATTTAAATTATATCGCGAAGGATGATCCGTCAAGTACGTAAAATTTTCGCGACTAATTTCTTTTCTTTTTTTTCTCTAATAAAATTCAACTTTAACAAATTCATTTTAAAAGTTGCAATTGCTTGCTTGAAATTATGTGCTGTAATTTATATTAATTTAGTCCGAACCTGTATCAGATATATATATTTTTTTTTCTTTCATGCAGGAACTCCAAAATTGAATCCTTATCCAAATTTCGATACAAATTACATTAACACACCTGACGGTATTGTCAGTATATTCCGTGTTAGAATCGACGATGCTTGCGGTCGATTATGGGGCGTCGATACCGGTGTTAACGACATTTTGGGTAACAGTACCATAGTAAGACCAGTGAGAATCATCGTAATTGACTTGAAAACAGACAAGGTAGCGTAAATAAAGTTACACCAAACGAAATTGATCACCACAGATGAGTATATTATTCAAATATTTCAATATCATTCTCTTCTCTTTGCAGATAATACGAATATACCCTTTGAAAAGCACAGATCAAACGTCTAATTCATTTTTCGCTGAATCGGTAGTCGATTCTGAACCGGACAACTGTGATAACTCGCATCTTTACATTTCCGATTTAGGTGGATACGGTATGGTAGTTTATAGTTGGGCCAAGAATGATTCCTGGAGAATAACGCACAATTTCTTCTACTTTGATCCTCTCAGCGGTGAGATATTTCAATTTTCACTGTTACAAGATGAGAGAGTGTAATTTACTGCATCTTCGGTAGAAATATCATCGATCGTTTCTTATTTTATAATTCTTATATTTTCTTTTACATACGTTTCACTCATTTTTCATATTAACATAATCCTTAAAAATTTTCAAGAGATGAGAAACTCTATTTCCTTGTAGGTAATTACAACGTCAGCGGATATAATTTCCAATGGACAGATGGACTGTTTGGATTGGCTCTATCTCTGCCACGAGACGATGGCTACAAAACTTTGTATTTCCACCCGATGTCTAGTGTGACCGAATTCTCTGTTTCTACGGAAGTTCTGCAGGACAGTACATTAACGAAGTCCAGCAACTATTACGCTTTTCATGTCGAGGGTGATAAAGGCCCGTTCACTCAGGGACCAACGTCTGTGATCGATATAATGACTGGTATCAATTATTTCGCTCAAGTACTCAGAAATGGCATCGCTTGTTGGGACACCAATCACGAATTGAATCCAAGTACTTTCGGTACGTATTAATAAAAATAATAACTGGAGATCGTTCATTCCAAGACATAATATACGAGCATTGAATATCATTTATTTTCATTCACTATTATCTCTTGTGGTTCATCTTTTAATTTTTCAATTTTTAGAGCATAATTTAATACCGGTAAAAATTCCTATTTCATTCCTGTAAAAAACTGTGATACTTTATTCGTAAGTAATGGAAGATTATCAATTTTGGAGTTATTTTATACTCTCAGAAATTAGTCATTTTACATCCTGCTTTACGTTTGTTTACTTCAACAGCAGCTAATTTTCTCGTCAAACGTCTCGAAGATCGATGCTTCGAAGATTTTAATTGCAACTGCAATAATTCGCAAATAACTGTTATTAATGGCTGTGTCATTACTTGTCGTACTTGTGACATGTACTTGTACAAAATTGCACCCCGGCGTTATTTTATCCCGTATTAATTTTTACTTGACAAGATTTTCCAAGAAACCCGGCTGGTTTTCTGTGTAAAGGAACAATACTTCGATTCATCGGTCAATTGTTTTCATCTTTTTCTTCTTTTTTTTTTTTCAGTCCTCGTAGCTGAAGACAATACGACGCTGGTTTTCCCTAACGACTTGTCCATCGATCGATCCACCAACATGTTATACGTACTCTCCGACAATTTGCCGCAATTTTTATTCTCACAGTACGACATGAAGAAGCGTAATTTCTTCCTTACAGCAACCAGCCTCGAATCGTTGAGCAAAATTTGCAAGAGGCGAAATATGAATATGCAGAGAAGACTTCCTCATATTCTTTAATTAATTAAACGCGGTTCCTTTAAACTTCATTACACCGGAAGATTATCGTATAAGTATTATACGAGAGTATTTTTACACAGATCATCCACAAAGACTTATTTCGATAGAAATTCGTTCGCTTTGGTTCGCATTTAACACGCTGATATATTGTAAAAGTGTGCTACCTTCTTGTTAAATTCTGGTAATTTTATATTAATTTCATGTTTGAAATATATCATTTTGGAAGAAAAAGAAAAACATGTTCTATCCAGCTTTCCTATATATTTACCTTTATTTATCCACAGCAATTATACAAAAGAATATCCAGAACAATTACATGCGATACGTGATGACAATCGCGTAAAATACCTGTTGTAATTAACGTTCATTTCAACCATGTTAATTGTCCTTTACCTATACGCAGAATTCAGTCATTTACGTCAAAACATATTTCCCCTTATAATTTCTCCTTGTATTTACAAGTAATTTTCTCCACGAAGTAATACGTTCATGAATGTATTGTGTGTAATTTCGTAATGTATATATAAGGGTGAATCATTAAATATATTTATGAAATGTTTAAATAACTGTTTCTTTTTCATTAGAAAATTAAATGGCACAAAGTTATGTAATTTGAAAAATACATGATAATATGTACTGTAGAAAGAGAAGACATTCGGTATGAATTTAAATGACTAACATTTTTTCGAAAGAAAGATGGATTGGAAGTGATATTTTCAAAATCAACCTGTTCGTTTTCTTACATTTTCCGATTTTTCTACACCCTGTTTACTGTGTTTGGTAAAATGTAGAAGAAAAAGCAATTAATAATTATAATATCACCTCGACATTGCGCACACGAGCACTATAATTTTAGGAGTAATGGAAAGAAATATCGTCATTAATTGTAAATGAAATTACTTTTCGGTATCACATGTTTTGGTCCCAATTTCACGTTTATCATGCACAGATTATAAAAATGTAACGAAGTATGATACATCTTTTGAAGACATCTTGATCACAGGATACTACACGTTTTCGACTGAAAATAGGATAAAACAAATTGTCCAGGCTTATCTATTCTTTTTTTAAATATCTTTAAGTATTACACGTACCTTAGATTTATGATTCAAATTGTCAGTCGTCTTGGTACCGTTCTCTATTGTTTGCGGCTTTTTACTTTTAAATATTTTTGACATTCTACCTGCAAAATAAAATCAGCCCAAAAATGGTAACGCAGCATCGTTCAAAATTCAAAGAAATGTAAGATTTTCATTGGTTCGAAAAATATCACTTTTACTTGAAATTCACATAAATCTACTTTGAAAATTATCCCAATTTCATTTATAAACGTAAGATTTTTGTTCCCTCGGCTAGCGTCACTTTTACCCGAAATTCGCACAAATCCACTTTAAAAAATGTCCACAATTATTTATAAAAATGATCAATTTCGTTCAGTTACCCAATTATTTTATTTCCCTTACCAATTCTTTGCGGCAGTGCCTGCACAACGTCGCCGTCAATCTGAGCACTGTCGTTATTCGTCTTCTCCTCCTCGATATTCTTCTCTTTCTCATTTTCCTTGTCGATTTCTATCGTCTCCACCGTGCCGTCTCTCGATCTCGTCGACTTAGAACTTCCGCCTTTCGTCGCGGATTTCATCGAGCCTGACTCTTTCTTCGCCGAGCCATTTTTCTCCGTCGTTTCTGCCTCTTTATCTAGAGTGTCTTCATTCTTTGCCTCGTTATCTACGTTAGCAGTTGCATTTTCCTTTTCCGTGGACGATGTTCTCTCGGTAGTAGAATTTCCACTTCCAGGCTTCAGTCTGGGCGGTTTCGGGGGTGGCGAAGGACTCGAGGGAGACATTTGCTTCTCAGGACTTGCTTCTTCCTTAATACCATCACCGTTGCTCGATTCTGTTTGCTCTTTCGTCTCGACGTCTTCGTTCTTACTTTGCTTATTATCTGCTGCATCATTATTTTTTGCACTATCGTTTTCTTCGTTAATCGTTTCGTTATTTTCTACGTCGTTTCGAGATTCGTTGTTGTTCTCTGTGTTATTCTGCTCTCTTTTCGTTGCTTCAGATTCCTTCTCTTCTTCAACGTTATTCTCTGCATCTACTTTTACTTCGGATTTTTTATTGTCATTTGTTGCTTCTTCATTTTCGTTTTGCGCTTTCGAGCTTTCTTCAGATTCTTCTTTAGTAACCGGTGCTTCTTCAGACGTCTTTTCTGTTTTCATTTCGTTCATTGTAGCATTTGAAGACATTTCTTTCGACGTTTCTTGCGAAGAGTTTTCAGAGTTTTCTTTAGAATTCTTCTCCGGACTTTTCTCGGGACTCTTTTCAGGACTTTTCTCAGGACTGTCGGCCTTCTTGATATTGTTCATGGAGTCTGTAATGTCGTTTGCAATACTTTCATTATTATTCTTCAGATTTTCTTTCGTATTTGCTGGTACTGTTTCTAACGTTGGTTGTACACTCATCGTTGATTCTGCTGCGTTTTTCTCGTTCATTTGGTCTTTGATTATCTCGTTAATGTTTTCGTCGCGAGTCTCGTTTTGCAGCCTGTTTACGTGAGTCTTTAGCGGTGGTAACGAATTTCTCTTCTGAATGTGTTCCTACAATATGAAAACGATTTGTTTTCTCTAATTTCAAGTACGTTACATTTCACAATTGTAGAAGTTTTCAGCGGATAATAATTTAATTTAATAATTAACAAAGATTAATTACGGTTGAAAGATCATTTCTGATAAAGGAATTTGTTTTAATAATCGTAAGTTACAAAAACATAAAATAATATTTTTAATTATTATCATTGATTGCACGAAAATTATTAATTTGAATTGTAATTACCGTTTGTGCATTTTCCATATCTCTCTGTGTGTGTTTCGTTTCACGTCTTTGACCAACTAGAATTGTATGCCAGCCACCGCACGCAACCTTCGTGAATTGTAACGTTGTCAGATAAATTTATTAAACAATGAATAAACCGCGTTTAAATGTAAATGTAATTACGTTTAAAACGATGAGTTCCTTGTATCGCGGAACGAATGTTAGTTCATGAACGTTATTCTCGTTTTCTTCCAAGCCTAATTTTCCGTGTCTTCCGTCGCCGCATGTGAAAAGTTTCCCTGATTCTGTCAGGAAAAACATGAAAATTTGACTGTCTTTAAACAATATTACAAAACAATGTAAATTATAGAGTTCCAGCAATTTTTTTTCTTATTTCTCATTACTTTCAGAATTTTACAGAATTTTACAAGAGCGAAGTAAAGAAAATTCAGCTGAATAATAAATTATATACGTACATCAGTTTATATATAAAATTATAGATTAATGTAACATTTTATTTCTCAAGAAGAAACGTCTCTTACGAAATAGAAATAAAATTTGCATGAAAATTTACCAGTGACAATGGCGGTGTGACTTTCTCCGCAAGAAATTCGAGTAATCTTTTCATTTTGCAGTGCACCGCGTGGAAGAAGTTTAGGTGTGTGAAGTTCTGTAGCATTTGTTCCAAGACCAAGTTGACCACTTGAATTACTTCCGGTGCAGTACAAATTTCCATTCGCTGTGAAATACACAGAAGTTTGGTGATTCACCAGGACCAACGTTTTGGGAGATGTTTTTAAAATACGTGTAAGAAGTATAACGTGAAAGATATTCGTAAGTTAGATTATACAAATTGATTACAAAATACCAGCTAAAATGACAGTATGATGACCACCACTTGCTACAAGCATAGCGGAAGTTGGTAATTGCATCTGTTTCGGCGCAACTTGGGTAGAAAAGCTAACATCGATCCCCAATTTCCCACTTTCTGTCTCGCCGCAGACATAAACTAGCCCACTTTCTGGAAATATAATTTCAAACTCGAGAAAAAGTTGTTAACACGGTGACATACGCCTCGCAGGCGTTAAGAAATGACCTAACTTTCCAATCTAACTTTTACAACCGTCGGTAGGAAAAAATTACAAACAATTCTTAACTGTAGAATTACTTTTCTTTTTTCGTAGAATCCTGATTAGTTCATTTTACTATTAATCCTTTTAGGGAGCCCTTGCTGAAAAACTCGCAAGATTTTTGTGACAAAAACACTTTAAACTAAAAACTCGAGAAATTGGTCCAAATATAATGCCTGCTGACAAATTATTGAAATAACAATTAAAACGTGAATAATTAACAAAGAAGCAAAAATATTGCAAAGATTTCACCGCAATTAAGTTTATTCGTCAAAAATACCTGAAAAAATTATATCACCAATAAATGTGTAACTATCACTTTGTGTAACTCTACTTTTATACAAATTTTAATAGTTTCAAAGAAGTAGATACAACTTAAAATGAATAATTTGCTTCCAACGTTATTTGATACAACCTTAATTACTATCCTACCTGTTAGAAATGTCGAATGGTAATAACCAGCACTAATCTGTTTCACTGGTTCAGGAACGTGTATTTTCGTTGGCTTGTTCACCAAGCCTGATACATCAGTAAGTCCCAACTGTCCTTCGAGGTTGCTGCCCCAAGAAAAAACTCCACCGTCGTTAGTAAGAGCGAGTGAATGATGAGAACCAGCAGCAATTTGTACTATCCTTGGTCCGGCTACTCCTGAATCGTACACCAACACGGGGGAACTCGTGAAGTCACCAATCGCGGAAGTTCCTCGACCCAGTTGTCCTTCCTGATCGCTGCCGCAGGCAAAAATCTTCTGTGCCCCTGAAACATCATTGCTAAGTAATTTAAATACTTCCAGGTATATTGTACCTCGTGATATACGGTTGTAAATTAGCAAATTAGCAAATGATATTTTTATTCGTGATTCAATAATCTTGATCCTTTTGCAAAGTGAAACTAATGATTGCTTTCGCTGCATTATTATTATTATTTGTTGGACATTAGAAATAAATTACGAAAGAATTTTAAACGATGAAAAGTATATTAAGTATGTGATTTACTTCGAATAGGTACATTTTTTATGGCGAATCTGAGAATTAGCTGAAAAGCGTTAGCAGATACACAGAATCGAAATTCAAATTGCATATTTGGAAATATTGGTATCGCAGATTTTAAGATACACATAATCCAGTAACAAACGCCTCGATTATGTTTTATCTTCTAATAAATAGGTAAAAATCATTCGCGCAAAATTAAGTCGTTGCGTGAGTCACGTGGAAATAGTAGTTTTAATAAAAAGAGTTAACATGAACATACATTTTTTCGGTCAGAAGGCAAACATTCAAGGGGTGATATTTATGAGCTGAAAGTTGAACGACTGGCGTGATAGAAAACTGTCGAACATGCAATGTTATACGTGTAATTGCAAACAGCATACGGTGTTGCTATATTTCTAAGGCTTTTGGTATCTACATAACTGGCATAAACGTAAACGATGTCTTACCTGTGCAAATTAGCGTGTGTGCTCGCCCACATGCGACGTGTGTGACCTTTTCCGGCTTCAGAGCTGAAAATTAATAGGCTGTGTTATGAAAACCCATGGTAAATTTAGGCGGTCAAGATGGTTTTAATCATACCTGAAGTGATTTAAATTCATAGAATTTCGAGCGAACAGCATGAATTCCAAATAAGAGTATACGTTCACATTTAAATGTCTAGATGTAGTTAGCGATGTTTCAAATATTATTGTGTAGAATATAATAGACAAATGTTTATTACTGCTTCATGACTGCTATAAGAATTTAAATACTCTATTTCACAATGTCGTTATCAGCAATTAAGAACAATTTGACGAACGAAGAAATTGCAAAACTAAGTCAGAGATGCTTCGAATACTTCAGTATTTTTTAATAAAAATCTCGAGAAATTTATCGAGAACGAATTCTAATGAACTTTTAAATACGAGCCTTTAACACAGGACGGTTTGTTAACGTGATTTCTATGACCGAGACCAAGTTGACCCCAATCATTGCTTCCAAAGACGAACAGCCTGCCAGTTTCTGAAAGATAATGAAAATCAAATTTTCCTGCGAAACGAATTTCTGTGTCATTTAATCAACCTTATCTTTCAATTTATGCCGCTATTTGAATAATTTCGAAATACAAGCTTTAGTCACGTGACGTTAACCCTCTAATTACGTAAAATCGATGAATTTCTTTGAAATTTCAAAGTCCTTACGATTCCACGAATTAGAACACTACACACAGTGATAAATGACAAATGATAAACGAAACAGTGTGAATAAAATGAATGAAAAATTCGAGGATATCAAGTCAATAACTGTAAACTATAGTCTAGAATCCGGACTCGAAAAATTGATCTCAAATCAGTATCCATTACAGACGTGACGATCGATAGATAAATAAACAATTCCTCTGTCAAGGAAAGGGTTAAGATGTCGATTTAAAGACACCTGAAATTTCTTCCCTCAAATTCCGGCGAGTTAGTGAAAAATTCGACGACTCGTTGAAACGAAACATCTCGAGCGATATATTTCATTCAGGGGAAAAAGTTCGCGCGCTTAGATAATTTCGCGATTAACTGGAACTGTTGATAATAATGGTATGTCGACTCCCGTTCATATAGGTATGTTACGTGCTAGAGAATTGCGTGGCAATATCGATTTACCGGACAGTGGCTATCCCTGTATAAGCACACGGCCGACAGTAACTTCTTCGTGAGCCATGTTACAGAAGCTGTAAATCATACTGATTTCGATCCTTGGTCATTCTGTCCACAAACTCCTATGATCAACGTTTGACCTCGTGAAATATTCATGAAAAATTTGTAATTCCTATTAGTTACACGAATTGAACTCTGAATTCAAATTATTATAATCCGAAGTAGAACTGAATGGATTGTTTCATTCTTCGGGCTTGGAAAAACGAACTCCGGAAGGAAAGGGGGAAAGAAATTTTACTAGGTTGAAGTATGGAAGAAGTTCTGCTACTCGATTAGGGTAAAAATGTTTCTGCAAAGGACACGATATGTGTGTGTTACTAATTGTTGCTCTTTCATTGATAGTAATTATGATCTGCAATATCATTAGTAGTGATAAATCATGATACTATCGTGACGCAAGTAAAACGTGTGATAGAGGCGAAATGGCATGCGGGAACTTAAAATGAGTCGGTAAATATCGTCACAGGATAAAAATAAGCTGTTGCTTTAATTAGTTTCACTCTCTTGGGAAGCAAAAATATGTATGATCTAGGAGTTAGAAATTTACTACATGAATATTTCCATAGTGGTGAACGAGATAATGAAAAGTGTTCGTAATTATGGTTCCAACGATGCAAATCGTTAGGATCTTTGCGTCAAAACGATGCATTGTAATTATAAGTATTCGTTGTTGTCAATTTAATGTTACAATTGAAATAAACCACGTGCAACATTCATATCATTGAAACGTTTACAGTCATTCACGTGTTCACCTATTGATTTCCTTTAAAATCAAGTCCAGTCGTTGTCCGAATCGATAAGCTAACGCATAAGGCATTTACTTAACGTTTGATACGTTCTGTGAAAGCTTTCGCAGGCATGTGAAGTTAATTTCATTTAAAACGGAATTCAGTGCAAGTAGTACGTGAGTGTAGAGCATGAAAAAGATTGGAAAAGAAAAAAAAATCTTCTGTTGCGGCCATAAGACCGATGATTCTGGTACACTTCAACGTACTTGTATAATTCACGACGGGATTTCCGTTTGTTCGGTCATTTTTTTTACTTCTTCGCGTATTTCGTTGTACGAAACATCGATAAATTATATCAAACACTAAAGAACGCATATTAGTTTAAATTTATCGCACGAATTTATCGTATGAAATTCATTTTTCTAAGAGAAATTAATCTACTGGAGAACGATGTTCGACGAAGAAACAGAAATTATTGAACTGTATTTGAAATTCGCAAAGCACGTAATAAGAAAAATATGAATGTTTAAAAAATTTGGTGATACTTGGCTAATTAAATTAATATATTGAGAGTTTTGGCGTAGAATTTTTCACTTATTGCGCAATGAGAAAGAGATACATTTTTAATTAACTTACGACAAATCACTGCAGAATGTTCGTCTCCACAGGTAACGGAGATCACTGGATCTTTGCGTATGAAAAAATGCGAGGCAACGTTGTCTGCAAATCTGCTGCGACCGACTGTAAATACCGCACCCGTTTCTGTAAAAAAAAAAAAAAGTGAATGTCAGTAAAATGCAAATTACAATGTTTTCGAAATTAACGATAGTAAAATGCAAATGTTGTTTTTAAAATGAACGTCAGTGTTTCGGGGTTAATTGTTGCAAAGTTCACAGCCAGGCCATAAAAACTGCACAGTTTCATTCTATATTCGCAATATGTAGATGCAGATATTTCACTTTATCATCTTCTAAATTTAAGTCCGGTGTACATAGCACACACACCATCTCGCAGTTCGTAATATTCGTAAACGAAAAAGCAGCAACGTGCTAAATCTTCGATGATTTATTCAAGGAGGTTAACGCGATAGCGCGATATCAAAAGGACGAATCGGCTCTTTCCTCTTTTACGTCTGGCACGAAACGGACGTCGGGCAAAAATCGTGCGACCAAGAACGAAACGAGATAAATATTCTTTAATGCTGTAGACTCACGTATCGACCGCGTACAGAAATTTTCAGCATCGGCTAAAAATAAGGTGGCCAAAAGCAATAATGCATATTCATTTAATATTCAAAAATCTGAAAGCGTAGAGCCGGCTTTTCCAATCAGATAAAAGAATCGTTGCAGTAATAACTCGGTTCTACTACAGTTTACGTTTACCGAGCTGCAATCTCGGAAGCTAAATGCTTTGCACACGAAAGATCAAGGAGATCTAGCCATTGCTATTTGTCCGCAAATAAGAATAGCAGGGAAATTGTTTATTCGTCCGGAAGAAAGTCGAACACGCAAAATATCTCGATAGTGTAACGGCTGTTACAGTGTTTGCTGTTCAATTTATTTACGAATTAACGTTAGTTCGTTTGATAGAATCGCGGTGTGTACTATCAAAGGTGAGTTGAAACTTTTGTCATTTCAATTTTCTTTACCCGAGTGTATCATCATATCAATGCCTATACTACCGGCTATTTTTTCCCCTCGATCGAAACGGAAGAAAGCATGGAAATAGCTACACAATGTAGTATGAATCATATTTGTACGCGCACTTTTGATTATATGAACAGAACGTGGACGGAATAATGAAGCAGTTAGAAGAGGAACTTACGAATCTACATTGGCTACATTTTCAAACGCTAATTTATCTAAAGAATCACGTTCATTCGTCAGTTGGAAAAACGTGTGCTCTCTTATGCTTCCAAATATATACATTAAAAAATTGTAATAAACGCTTGTAGACAATTTTGTGACGCAAAATTTACAGTTTCACTTGGTACCACGTTGTTTACCACAGATCCAATCACTTTCAATGAGGACATCGTTTCAAAGTTAATTACAATGCCCTACGACATTAACCGCGTTACTCCAGCGTGTGCTCAAATTGAAATTGAGCGGACTCGGTGTGAAAGGAATGGGAATGATAGATTTAAAAGGAAGAATTTTACCTTCCATTCACAGTTGTACGACAGCGATAGTTCAGAATTACAATCGTGTTTCTGTACAGCCACTAAGCGAATGAATTTTTAAGATCGTCCCTGGTTGATCGTGTCTGTCGCAAATGAAAGGGTTAGGGATCCGCGATCGTTACAAAAGAAAAACGAGAATAAGTAGGGGGTGTTCGGGAAAACCTGCTCGATCGTTGAAATTATGGTATCACCTATGGTGAGAGACTACGGCTATGAAACGAGCCAACGATAATTTCAGTTTCTAGCTTGTAAAAGGTCGACGATGCAGCAGGTAGACCGATGTTAATCCATCCAGGACCTCGCCGTTTCTGTTTCTTCTTATCAAAAGTTCAAACGTCGATTCTTTGCATAATGCATCGCGCATTCATCTTTCAAGCAGTTAACATGTTGTTCTTTATCCACGTTGAGTTTAATTGCCAATTACGGTATCGAGTAGCGTTTCCAGAACCTGAGCTGGCGAAAATTTACGCACGCGGAAGTCATTACGTAGGGGGGAGAGAAGAAAAGAAGTACGACGCGCCAAGTGCCATGTAGGTCGACGATAATAACGTTTGTTAGGGAAGCTTTTTTGATCATTTAAAGTCGTACGTTACTACGCTATAAGTGGAAAAGAAGAATCATGGAACAAGGTCTTCTAACGAAGCAAGGTGCTAGACCGATCAAGGGTCTTTTCAATCGAACTCTCACGAGTGGAAAACGTGACATTTTTTAGGAGAACTGAAAGAGGGAGTTTCTGTTTGGAAAATTACTTAATTACAGTATTATGAAACTACACTTACTCGAAGTGTTACTGTTCAACTTCTGACATTTCTTCTGATGGCAAATCTAAGTATCGCAAGGTTTTTCAAGTAATAAAATGAAAATTAAAAATTTCTTATTTCTGGCAATTTTTCTTGCGAAGGTGCGATATGACAATGAATGTTATTTTTCGAATTATAATTTAGAATAAAATTTGTATCTACTGTATCTGACTTTCGAGTGTTTAATACGAAGTGCCATTCTCGCGCGCAGAATTTAACTGCGAGTGTCTTCAGATTTTCCTTACTCTTGTGCATCTAAATACTTACCGTTGCGAACGTTTTCTACGAATAAGGAAATAATTTCGAAAAATTTAGGAAAATTGGCAACTGTGACGTCACTATTCTATTCTAACCAGTTTTTTAGATTTTAAACGATGCTGAACATGTTCCACTTCACTCTGCTTCGTAGTTTCACACTTTAACAGACTCACGTGGATACCAATGATTGGTAAACGTAAAGTAGAACTGTATACTGTAAAATGCAACACGGTTAAAGTTACTATTTGCAATTGTTCAATGTAGAGCATGCTCTTATTTCGAAACGCGACATGCGAGATGGTAAATTCGTTGCGACGATATCATCGATGCGCTCATTTTCTAACTACTGTGACTGCGTCCAGGTCGTTAACCCACGGATGCACGGTTTAACAGCCATAAAAACGGATGAAAATGTATGCATCCGTAAGTTCGATCAATTGCAATATTTAATTCACTATTCCGCAAAACTGGCTAATCGGGGTTTAACCATTGCGTCGCCGCGATTCACGGATACGAATAACCGCGACACACTGGCAATGTTGTCCCGCCGCTGAAACGTTCAGTCGATTTTGCGTAAATATTTCATTGGCCGAAACGCGGAAGAGTAGTTCTGCGATAGCGACAAATCTTCCGTTCAGGGGGTAGCAAATTTTCCGTTTTAAAGAACGCGGCAAGTCTGTTGTAAAAAGAATATTGTGGTAGAATGTGCGATGGAAACTTGTGAAGTATGGACATGCAAAGCTGTGCATAGAATTTTCAACTTGGCGAAACTAGGGAAGCGCGTTCTTTCTTCGACTTTTCCCGGTGAAGTCTCTTCCTGTTGAAAAATTTCTTCTGCAATTAAACTTTGTTAATCATACTGCGGTTGTAAATTTCGATGTAAATTGAAAAGAAAATTTAATTAATGTTATTGGTGCTATTAGAAACTAGGACGAGGAAACTGCGTTCTTTCTTGGAATTTTCTAGAAAATTCTCTCTCTGTTGAAAAATTTCTTTTTTTAATTGAATTTTATTAATTGCGTTTCGCTTGTAAATTTCGATGTAAATTTGAAGGAAAATTTATTATTATTATTAATGTATTATTTAAAAAAAGTAGGCGTTTTGAAGGTAGTGGTAAAAAATGTTGTCAGTGGTGAAGACACACACGGCAGCCCACATTTCCGTAAAACCAGTAGAAAGGAATATAATTAGTGATAAATCTCCTTTTTCCAACATATGTACGACTATGTAACGTTTATGCAATAACGGTTTCGAGTTGTTTCATTTCGTAATATCTCGAACGCGCGCACGAATTCTTTTATTTATAAATTATACACAATAAAACTGGATCTTTGGTTTATCCTGCGTGAAATATTGCGTACGATACAATTTTTCTATTCGTTGCAAGCAATACGTTCGATGCATTTAATTAATAAATAACTGATACCGTTGCAATCGACGGGGAAAATATACTTGTCGAATGTTCTGCAAAAATGACTTCTTTTACCGATCGATATTTTCTATAACTTGTAACAGTACTAATTAGTATAAAGAATTTCTGTCGTATTGTATCGTGTTACGTTCAACTTTCTATTTTATTAATTATTAAACTAATATTTTTCAATTCTCCATAGAATAGGCTACACTTGTACAACGTAATTATCTTTGTAACTGCGTAAATATTCCGACTGTGTGTGATATTTATTAAAAAGAAAAATCACGTAAGTACAAAACATAGAGAAAACTAAGGAACGTCGTTTTAACAAATATTCTTTCACAATAATACACGAATCTCACTCCACGGGTATTTTCGATACAAATTAAAAGTCGATTATTTTTCTCAACCCAGATATTCGAAAATACGTGAAAAGTAGCTCAATCCATTATTTTTATCCACACTTTTATCCACACATTTTCCTAAATTCAAAGTAAACTTTCCAAGTTTGTCGTGTTTTTCTTTAAATCTGACGCCGGTTTGCCAACGTGATACAGCATCTGTTCGAAGAGAAACGGTGTCGTTGTTTAAGATAAGTGTCGATTGCATTGAAAACGTGGCAGGTGCGTTAAATTGTGCGTGATGCGTGTTATTTCGTAGAACGTTTTACCGGGTATCATTTCTAGGTCCGTCAGGCCCATGCTTGCACGTTGCGCCGCGTAACTTGCAGCCGACTAACTGCCGGTCAGGCATGGCTATCATGGTGGCAACTTAAACTGAACGTTGCCTAGCAACTGGAAATCAATTTCTAATGGCAACCACACCAGACGTGTGTGTTCCAACGATAAGAATGGGAACGATCGTTCGCCACTAGTGTATTTTCATGTGGAAATTAAAAATAACGCGCGACGGGCTTTCCCGGCGTTTCTTTGCGTGTCAGCATTTCCGGATGTCGTCCAGTATTCAATGCACGACTGCACCGATGCATTCGTGACATTCAGCTATGAATAATTTTTTTCTTTTAATTTAAGCATCTAACGGTGAGTATCTTGTCTCGTGTTCCTATTAATTTTCTTTTATCGTTATTACGTTCAATTAAAGTTAACGACACGTGTAACGGAGTTTACGACGTATTGGAAAGAATTGGTGTGACGTAGTATGTATGTTGGTAACATGGTTAGGCTTGCTACGTGGTTGAATAGATGGGGGGTGCTTACGGTGTAAAGCGAACGAACGTTTGATATATCGATATCGGGGAACTAGAATTGCAGGTTGTATTCATCGCACGTTCTTTTGTGCGCTGTTAAATTGTAAATGATTGTTTAGAGTCATGAGAATGTGATATAAGATGTGACATTATTTCTTATAGCGATTTTATGGGAACGTCCATTATATAACTAGGAGATTGATTTTTTATCGTTTATTTGTAACAAGAGTTATAAGTTTGTCGCAGAATTCTTTGCAATTAATCACACACGTTGTGTTATACTATAATATTTTGTGGTTAAGAATATCATATTCCGAAAGGATTGAATTAAATATTTTTCGATGTTAATTATAAAGATAACTATAGTGTTAGATTAAATGCTTTTAAAAAGATCAATATTTAAACAGTAACGAAAAAATTTTATTTAGTAATTTAATTATTTTTAAAATCTTTTTTGAGCTTTTAAAAGCGTACTATTAAAGTAGAAAGTAAATATTTGAAAAGTTTATTTTCGTGACATGTATTGCCAATTTTTTCACAGAATTGTCGGAAATATTTTTATAAATATTTTATCGCTAAGTGAAATATAAGTTAAAAAATAAATATCTTAAATACACATTGATTAAAATATGTTTTATCGGTACAAATGTGAAAGGTGGTTTTCGAAGTTTGTGCAGAGCGCATTAGTATCGCGAACGTGTATTAACGCGTGTGGTGTGCTGTGTTACTGTCAAACTTAAGAAACTAGTATTTATTTCTTTCTGAAGAAATTCTTATTTCTTAACTAGAACAAGTATTACTTGTGTTACAAGTATTGTGAAGATTTATCAAAATTTTAAGCGGTACGTTCGATATTCATATTGAATCTCGTATACGGTACAGGTCTAACCTCTAACAAAACGGTCGTAAATTTTGAAGTAACATTTTCATACGTTGAAAGAAATTGTAATATTATTCATTGATTACGTCATATAAATGCGTCTTATTAAACACATATAATAATTCACTTAGACAAAAAATTGTTAATTGTAATACCATACAATTCATTTTCGATATTACGTATATAACCTACGCTTCTAATCATTCGATCTATATATATTACATAATTTTTATTTTATAAACTTTTACTTTGTCAAGTAGGAATAGTACAGAGTCATTATCTTTTGTCCTAAAAATTATATTATTTAACGTTAACAATATTTTATGGTAGTTAATACTACGTGTAGTCAATTTAAAGGTTAGGTGAAAGTTACATAGTAACAATGTAATTTAAATATTTAATCGATTATAGTAGTTAGTATCGTTTAGTAACAAGTGGTTATTACTTATTTGTTCTGTTTATGTTAATAAACAGAAAGCTTTATAATTGGCAAAGGTTCAACTATTGCTGTAGCTAATAGCTTCTTCACAATTTTGTGTTGTAGAGGTGGTGAAGTGTACTGGATTATTTTTTGGATGAAACGTTATTGACAATTAAAATGACTGATTGTCCAGAAGCAGAGAAGAATGTTAAAGACCCTATGAAAAGTTATGAATTTGATGGTCAATCTTACATATATAAGGATCCTACAACTAATGTAACATACCGATTTGATCAAGAAAAGAATGAATGGATGATAAAAGATACAGAAGAAACTAAAGAGGAAGATTCAAGTGGTAGTGAAGTTAAGGCACAAGAGGGAGTGTTTGGTTTTGAAAATGATACTCACACATATACAGACCCTAATGATGGCAGTGTATATTTTTGGGACAAGGAGAAAAATGCCTGGTTCCCAAAGGTGAGGTCTGTTTTTTTTATATAATATATGTTTTCAAAATTTTTAACCGACATTCCTTAAATAAATTTTTCATGATTTCTAACCTATAATACCTTAAAATTAAATTAGCTGCAAATGATTATGTTTCAGGTGGATGAAGATTTCATGGCAAAATATCAGATGAGTTATGGATTTACAGATTCAAGTACAACAGAAACAAAAAATGAGCAACAACCTCAATCACAAGTAAAAGTTGACAAAGAAAAGAAAAAACTGGAAGCTAAAAGAAAAGCGCAAGAGCCACCAACTTGGTTCGAAGTGGATGAAGCACATAATACTGCCATTTATGTCTCTGGCCTACCACTAGATATCACCATGGAAGAGCTCACAGAACTTTTTAGCAAGTGTGGTCTCATAGCAAGGGACGAGAAAGGAAAGAACAGGATCAAGTTGTACAAGGATTCAAATGGACAACCAAAGGGCGACGCACTGTGTATCTACATAAAGGTAAGTTATTTATGAATAATATAGTGAAATGTGTTTTGTGAATTTCATTACATCGTGGGTGTATTATGTCAGCTAAACAAACAAAATAAATTGCAAATATAAAAATGTTTATTTTAACAAAAGGTGTATAAAATACTGTGACATAAAATGCATAATATGGAAATAAGAAGTTTAATTTTTCTCATAATTAGTTAAAAAGATCTTTAACCTAAAGGATGTATGTGTCTACTGTCCCTATTTTCGAAAAGGTCGTGTTCCACAACAATGGTTTTGACATAGAATTTTTATTGACGTAATTTACTCGGTGTTAAATACAGTAGACAGGTGTCGACGATTGATAGGTTAACGTATTTACAAATATAACGATACATAATTTATTAAAAATTCGTAACAATAAATTTACTCGTCGTGAATTAATAATCGATTTTCGAATACGATACAATGAAATTGCGAATAGAATTTATGATTTCGGAACAATATTACATATATACGGATTAACAGTTTCTAAATAAGAGTACGATGTACGTAAATACAGATATTTAAACACATCCTATATATGCAAAACATTCGGCTTACAATTAAAGCGTAGTCTTATCAACTTAAATCCTGAAATATTTTAACGGCAAAAAATTGTTATTCTATCGTACGTGTCTACACAATATCATTAAATCGAAACATAAAAATAAAAGTTTTGGAAAATTTTTCCTCGGCATAACGGTGACATGTACTAAATAATACGCAGGTATACATCAAATATATATTTTTCGGTTTTTTGAGTAACATTGATATGTGGTCAGCGCATTATTCATTGACATGTATGTATGTTTGAAAAGTTAGGTTATAGTCAACGTACAACTATCGATATTCAAGCAGTTCGACTATTTGTAATATATTATGTGCTACGATCATTACATTATAAATATTTACTTAACGTGACAAAAATGTCACAATCAGAAAGTACTTTTTCAATTAAAGTGAAGATTCAAGTCGAGTAATATGAATTTAAGAAAAAATATAAAAAAAAGGACTACTCTATACTTGTTTGTAGATTTGATTTTTATTAATCATTTCTCCACATAAATGCCTTCGAATGCTGCACAGCAACAAACGAAAACTAGTATCGAAAAAATATAATTCGAAAACAGATCAGTTTCGTTTCATGCACGTTAATTAGGTGGGAAAAAAGAGACAGAATGCAATGCAAAATACTCATCGTACGCGATACATGAACATTGGAGTTATTAATCTTATCGATTTCAATTAACGTTACTAACTAGACAAATACATCTTTGAGACACTAACGCCTATTTAGAGAGAGGAACATGAGAGACTGTTTCGCCGATGTGAAGTGAATAAATTATTTCAGTCTGTGCTCGGTTTCGGTAGCATCTAAGCGACTTTATGCTTTCCACAAAATTAAAATCAGACCTAACTCTTTACTTGGTCACACGAAGGTAGTGATTATTTGATGAATGTATAAACAAATGTAAAATATAATAAAAGACGAAACATAGACAAGGGAGTTTTTTTTTTTAGAGGATTAATGATCGATGATTAAAGCTACCAAATAAAGAGTTAAAATAAATAGCAATTAGTTCATGGCTTTAGTAGTACTTCTTCGTTCGCTAAGTCGTTGATTTTGCCAGGGATATGAGAGAAGACCTTGCTTATGTCTGTCAGACTTTGTGGACCGTTATAGGGCCCAACGCCCAGAAATGCACCGTATTCTCGTCCATGTGGCACCATCTGTGCCACTCGTGGGTAATTAGCTTGAGTTTTATTCGAATGATGTCGTATTCGATTTCTCGGATACATTGCTCGAGACCTGAAATTACAATTTTAATTAAACAGAAAAAAGAAACTGTTTCAAAAAAATTTTTGTTCAGTCCAAAATATGTAGAGACCTTGTTCCTAGAATTTTTTAAAAAGATTATCGTTTTTAGTGCTACTACAAACAATTATAAGATCGATTTATTTGAGTTGAACTAAATTTTACATTAAAGATACTTCTTAACCTTTTTTTTTTTATAAATTCAATTGTGAGTAATAGAAAGTTTGCCGATATTTAACTGCAAACTTTGAATAGCTGTTAAAATGGGAGTTTAAACAGTCTTACTTGGATGGCGGCCTTGAACCCAAATTCACACCATGCGCCCAATAGTCGCCACTGGCATTCTGTTCCGCTAGTCTTTTTCGCCATGTAGCTCGCTGTTTATTCTGTCGGTTTGGCTTGTGCTGCGGTTCTTTCAAGTACTTCTTCCCTTTTTTTCGAGGCTTTAATCTTTGGTTTTGCGGTGCATACGGATCCGTAGTTTTCTTTCGTCTCCTAGCTGGAATTTAAGCAAAAAGTATTTCGTTAGATTCATCTTACACGAACTGATCGAATAAGTTTGAACACAGTTTTTTTTTTTTTTGCATTTTTAATATAAATGTGATAATTTAAATGGCGCGTAAATTTGTAAGTGAAAGCAAATTTAATGCCGAATTCTTACCTACACGCCCAGCTTGCACTTCGCACACATAGTGTTTTCGTTCGACGCAACTCCGTGGGCTCCATTTATACTTTAACATGGGATCGATTGTGATGCAGTGCCATGCATACTGTTCCTTCGTCTGGTTAGATTGAGGTAGACCGAAATTTTGGAAAACCACTTTCTCACCGGTCACGCCCCATTCCCAGGTCATTTGCTGCCAATTGAATATTCCACCGATCCATCTTTCTAATTTCGCTGGAATAATGTTTCACCGTTTTAGCTATCTCTGCACCTTCAATTCTCTTCAATAGCTTCGATGTTCGAATGGAGAAATGTACATTTTGCATTTTTTTCTTAATTTCAATAATGTCCCAGTAATTTTTAGTTCACATTGTGCGTGCATTGTGTAGAAGAATCGTAAATTTCTTTTCTCGCCAGTCGTTAGATGAGGAAAATTGAAGGAGGAACTTTATATATACTTCAAATTTTGTATCGCGTTCAAATTTCTTATTCCGCATTCCGCGAATCGCGGTGACACGATATGAATTTCTACTTACTGAACTGTTCGCTCGACAAGTATTTCCTCAGCATCCGATCCTTCCCGTTTCTGTCGAGAATCGCCAGAGTGGCGTTTCTGTCTTTGCAGTGAAAATAAGCTTCTCTCCAAGGAGCCGTCCCTCCGCTTAAATAATAGCAATATCTTTTCAATCGGAAGAACCCTATGGGGCACGCGTACCGCTTTATGGGTCGACCGATCGTAAGTCTGTTCCCGGCTACTGGATAAGTACTGCTGTTGTAAGGTTGCACCACGACCGCAGATATGCCTGTGAAATAGCAACGAATGTTTAATAATTATCAAATTTTCAGAGATTTTAATTCTTCTTAACACGTTAAGCGCTGTTTTGTCTTCCTTTCCGTTTAGCCCGCGATATCCGATTTCACCGATATGCTGGCGGCCGGAGATCTGTGTAAGGTTGCGATAAGACTGCATGTGTTTTAATAATACCTCGTTAAAATTTTTTTATGGTAACAAGTAATATTTAGGTACATTCTTTTATGATCTCCAAATTATTTAAAATTTATTAACAGAAGAATATAATTTTTTAAATTGTATATCGTCAGTCAACAGTGACTGACGCACCCTGAACGAAAAGTATAGTGTCAGTCACCGGCGACTGACGCGGCCCGAACGAAAAGTACAGTGTCAGTCACCGGCGACTGACACGGCGCTTAACGTGTTAAAATTAATTTCGCACAATTCAACGCTAACGGCCAGGTAGCCTTCTACCTGTTTCACATATACGACGAGTCGTTTTTTTTCTATTAGAATTTTAATAATTTCTCCCTCTTCGTCTTTTTGCCCCTTTAACGTCCGCGACAGGTCATTTTTTCCCCATTAGAATTTTAAAATATCTCCCCGCTAATTTTACCATTTTCGTTTTCCACTTTTCTCGTTTAGCAAGTATATTCTCAGCGTGTGGTAGCGAGAAATTTCACGTATCGTCTGTCCCGACGACCTTCCCTGTCTGATAAATATTCCAGCACGATACTCTTCGAGAGAATCCTTGAGAACGATAACGATTTTGTATACAGTTCGCATAAATTTCCCTCGTCGTGTGCACGCTCGTCGCCGGTAACGAGTTTCAAGCGAATGCTTCGCGTTCACGCGGGTTTTTTCCCCTCCTTCTTACTCCTCGATAAAACTGATATCCGCGGTGAACGCGTAGGTAGGTGTACGCGTTAGCAAATTCGTTACGTCATGCGTCTGCATGGTGTAATATGCAATACGGCGGTAAGTAGTTCAGTGTTACGGTCGTTCTCTCCTCCGTGCAATCATTTCTTTCGCTCCGGTACACTCCTTTTACGGGGACAATCGGAGAAAATCGGAGAATAGAACATGTCAGACGTACAGAGGCTGGGTCCTTAGCAAATGTTCGTCCGCGAGTGGATTCCCTTGTATTCCTTGCCCTTGGACGCGATTTAAGGATTATATAACCGGTTGCACGCTTTACGGGTGAACAATTGTATTATGTAGACGGAATTAATCTAACGAACGATGGTGACGGTGAAACAATATTCGTATTTGCACAGGTGTTTGCTGTGGAAATTGTTTGCTCTAGAAATTCCTAACTTCCGTTCTTAATGTCTAACTTAATTCACAGCTCGTCTTTCTTTGTGATACGAGAGAATGATAAAGTGCGACGATGAAAACGATAAAAGACGTTTATTCGAATGGTAGTTGCACGGCGTAATTTATTTTTCGTTATCATTGTACGAATAGATCACACACCGGATGCTTTGCACACCTTAGTTTACTTGCCACGGATTATTTTCAACGATCTCGCGAGATACACTTTGCATCGCTAAGATTCACGTGAAATTTCGCGTTAACCGGAATTTCACGAAATTTCAATTCATCTTTCTCAGAATTGCAAATGTCATTTTCGTAATCGTCCTCAGGATCGGAAGTATGAATTTTTTCGAAAGTTACAAAATCTCGACGAAATAAAATCGAAATTTCAATAACGAAGTAGACCACTTTAAATATTGCACATAACTGAGCTAGTGTTACGCGTCTGAAATTGCTTTTATCATACAGAAGGCTTAAAGATTATGTAAATAGAATTTTCCGTAGATAAGTGTTGAAAATCATCACTCGCATGTTAGGTATTTAAACGAAACGTAACTTGTAAAAATCGAGCAGATAATGGAAAATTTTCCGATTCGAATGCCAGAATTTAGCCACTTGGAAAATGTTATTTTCAAAAAAGAGAAAAAACAAATTGAAGAATTAACGAATTGCATTTTACAACGATTTTTGAAAATTTAACCCGAGTGTTCTACAATAGCTCTTTAAAAATCGTCGCACATAGTATATGCGAAAAAAATGGGAATATGGGAAAAAATTCTACGGTGATATTTGTCGTTTACCGTGTAGTGCAGTTTGATAAGAAAAACGCGACGGAGAAGTTTGCTCGTAAACGGTTTAGATAATGGTAGCTAATTACGGTGTGAAAGCGTATATATTTCTTATACCGGGTGTCGACAGTTAAAAAGGTTAATAGGCTCTGGTATTTATTAATAGTTGTATGGCTATCTGTCTTAACAGAAATATATGACTTGCTGCAATTCCATCTGATAGTATACGTAACTTGGCTGTAACTAAATAAACCAGTAGTAGTTCTCTAAGAATATCGGTCGAAGAAAATTAATCGCAGTTTTCTTCAATTTTATTACCGTTAGTTTGCTGTAATGAACGATGTCACTAGTTTATTCTCGGGTAAAGCTAATCGAAAGATACTAGAATTGCTCGTAAAATAGTACGAACGAACTTGGAACGTTTCTAGAGACACTTGAAATTGAAGTTCTCGATGTTCCGATTGGAGAGAATATGGTAGCGAAGCATCAACGAGGGTAACGGTGATCGTAATTATGATAATGACGAGCTGCTTGAAATTGTCAGTGTACTTTAAAAACCGTAGATTTTCATGAGGATTTTTGCGCTATTCGTTTGATGAGCGCTAACGCGAATTAAACTTCCGTGTATCACGAAGAGCTCCTAACCCAGTTCAACGCGTTTGATGTTGCCCGTTCTACGAAGCGGGAATGATATCATCTGAGAAAGTTATGCTACGCGCGGCAAGTAATGTTATTGTGCTCATGCATGATAATTGCTGGGTTAGAAATGCGAAGTGTCAATTGCATCTTTCTCTTTTGGTTTATTGTCGGAGGAGGATTCTCGAGGAATGCTAGCACGGTAAAATTGATCATCGATCGATCGAACTATTCTCACGAATTCCAAAATTCTGGACTGTCTCGTTGTTTCAAAGTTTCTTCTCCAAGTTCGATGTTTCTGAAAGATTCTCGAAGATTTAGTTTTCTGAGAAAAATAAATCGAGTCTGTTGCAGTTTTGAACTTAATCATTGTGCGATACGGTTTTTAGAAGATTTGTTGAAATTATTTTCTACTGTGTAATAAAGCTTTGTAGTTTAGCAGTGTTTTATTGTTCGAATGTCCTACTTCTGTTACCACGTAATTTCTACAAAATTTATCACTTCATTTATCGCTAGTCTTCGGTTGTACAGATTTTTAGACAAGGTACAGTAAATTCTCTACAAGTGTCAGCCCGCAAGGAAGCTAAACCGGACACTTGTAGAGTCAGGGACTACGTTTTCGAGCCTCGCGCCTGCCTTTGTAGTTTGCCGAACGTAGACAAGGACAGGGAATAAAAGATAAGGATGAAACGTGAGTCGAGGCAACCAAGCGATTTAAATATCAACTTTTTTTATCCCGACATTTTTCTTAACATATTGATGAGATTTTTCTGATGAAAATGACATTAAACACGACATAATTTGAACAACATTTACTTATTAACACGTTCACTGTCACGCCGGATATTTCACTGTATTGAGATAAAACAGACGCCCTTGTATTACATTACATAAAGTCGGCCTACCGTTTGACTGACACTTGTAGAATCGGCCCTACATTTTTTTTTTCTTTTTTTTTACGTGGAGGTAGGCCGACATTAAATTAATTACTCAATAAGTATTAATAAGTAAATGTTGTTCAAATTATATCGTGTTTGATCTCATTTTCATCAGAAAAATCTCACCAACATGTTAAAAAAAAATTTCAGATGAAGAAAAGTAAAATTAAAGAAATTATATTTTTCTATTATGAATTGTCGAGCCGTGAAATCTCGTAAAAGAAACCGAGTGGTGTAGCGTTACACGCTTGACTGACAGCGAGCGAGATAACATACGCTAACAGACACTTGTAGAATCCAAACTGTCTGACAGTTGTGGAGAATTTACTGTATTTTTATTAGCCTGTATTTTACGGTACCAAGGTATTTTATCATTTTCGAAATAAGCTGAAACCGAGGTCGAACTGTACTTACAGATTTTATATTTCCCTTATCACAGGATCGTTTCATATATGCGATTTAAAATACAGCAAGACAACCGTTTCGCGTTCAGTTCAAACGTCACTATTGCCGAACGATTACACAGCATACCTGAACGGATATTTGCATTCTCATTGAAAAGAAATCGCGTAATCTCAGTAATAAACTTTATCGATATCACGTAGTACTTGCCGTTATCAAAATGTTACGCGACGGGAGATCAGTGTCGCGCACAGTACATCGTCATTTTTCTAATTCTCTACGGATAGCAGTTTTTCAGAGAAATTGAACGTTACTGATCAAATTTTCCGTTGGTTGCACACAGTTTCGCGAACGTTTCATTTGTTTGTATGTGCAAACAATAAACGACACACACGGGAAACTTTAACTTCCAAGCGTATTCATTCATAATTACGTCAGACGCAGCCTCACCGATATTTCTACGCGGCCGTTTCGACGCATTCAATGTAAATCCGCCTTCGAAGGGAAATAGCCCGAGCAGTATTATGACAAATGAGCGACCGATAGAGTCGAAGCAAAAACTTTTGCGTGTTCCTCTAGCCATTTGCGTCCCCAATCGATGGCAAATCTCGAATTTTACGGGACAGAAATTTGCGGCGAACGATTGCTACCGTAAGTAGGACATTTCTGTTATCGCCATGGATCAATGTTCGATATTTATTTTCCATACTAGTTCTATTAAAAATGCTTTCACTCCCGTTGAATATTTATTACCGAGATATCTACCTTGTTTTTCCTTCTTCCTTTTTTTGCACGTATATTATTGGTTAAAAAGAGAAGAAAAGTGAATTTGATATTTACAATATAACGACATTCTAACGAATGTTGTAGTTTCGACGTTAGAAGGGGGGGAAAATTGCGTAAGGTACGCGTTAGTGTTTCATTTATAGTCCAACGATTGCTAATATCTGATAGGAATAATTATCAAGATTTAAAGACTCGCGTAGATAAGCGACCAAGTGATACATACAATTGGTTTTTTGGGTCACGTTCGGAATCTAATTTTTTCATTAGTTATGTTTGATTAACTATTTGAAGATTAGATCAGCGAGCTACTTCGAATTGGATGTTCGACTATGAATATTGCATAACCTCGATATTAGAAACCGATTATTTCATTGTGACTTTACGATAGGCAATCGATCCCAATTGTGTACGAAATGCAATAAAAACAGCTCTCCAGCTAATTCTATATTGTTTCTTTAGTTGATGAAAATTAGATTAAGCAAAACTTCGCGTCTGCGACATTTCCTTCTGACAAAGATGATTTTCTACTTGTTATTTATTTTTCTATTTAATAATCGATGAGAGAGAGGTTAAAAATCAACGTTTTTCGAGGTATTTCGTGAAATTTATTTTTTTTAATATTCTTCTCACGAGAAAAATAATTTTCGTAGTAGAATAGAATTTTGTTGAAACATGTACAAGCGACGAGGAGTGGAAAGAAAAATGGAAAGATAGAGAATACTATTATTTTACAAATTTCTGTGTAAAAAATCGCGATAAGAATGTTTCCATAACAGTGAAGAAATGAAACCTGAGAGGTATCTCTTAGCACTTCCTTCCTCGCCATTAAACACTGCCATCAAAATTAATGTTAATAGTTAAACCTGTCACATTGCTGATGAAAAAAGTTTGCCGAGCTGGTCGTATCTCGGCGAAGTGTTACCGGCCACTATAGAACACAGCAGGTTATAAATGCCGGTCTCTTTTATCTATTGTCAATATTCTGGTATCAGGAAAAATTTGCGATGCAGAGTTGCGTCAACCCTAGTGATCGTGGACTTTCAAAACCGGCTTGTATTTAAACGGCTGATAAGTGTTGACACTACGTGTTTCCAGGAATGCACGATTCGGCTATGTTACCGGTAGACGGTGAACTTTGATAATTAACTCGCGCTAGTCTTGAACGTAGCCCATAATTAATATTCAAACAAAACGTTACTCTTCGGTCTTGCTCTTTTATAACCGACATTTACGAGATGGGCCAGGTGAAACAGGCCACCTAATTATCTCCTCTAGGCGTACGTCGTTTAAATGGTACCAAAGGGTGAATAAGACGGGGAGAAAATATTTTTTTATACGAGTATGTTATAGAAGAAATTGATGTGTATTTAACCGTAGAGCGATCTTCGGGTCTTTTTCGACCCACCGCCTTTTTATATTTTTAGTCATTTTTGCTGTTATCAAGTTTACGTTCCTTAACCTTATTTCAAACGTTTATTGTCTAGGTTCATATGTCGCGTTGGAAACAAAAATTGTTTCACATAAGGTCTTAGATCCTTTTTGACCCAAAAGTCTTAAGTGTACAGTCGAACGCAGTAGGGTGAAATATGCGTAATAATAACGGTACCTTGAACTTTGATCCTAGTACGGTCTTCGGGTCATTTTCGACCCGTCGCGTTGTCATTTTTGAAATAATTTTTCTGTTGTCGACAGAACGTAACGAAATTGTTGCCAATATGCTTGTTTACGTTCCCTTAAGAAGCGTGGTGGTAATAAAAGTTCTTTGGGTCGAAAAAGACCCAAAATCGAACGGAAGAACGCACTTTTAAGTCAAACGTGAAACTTCCTTTCATTCTTTGGCATTTATTCCATTGAAAAGATTTTTCGTCCAACCTATTCATCCCTTGAAACCGCGTAAATTATGTATAAAAATTTCCTCGTAGCTAGAGAAGATAATTAGGTTGGCCTGTTTCACGTGGTCCACCTTGTACATCTAGTCGGTTTATAAGTTTAGTACGTAAGAATCAGATACGTTCATATGCATGTCACGTTCATGAATAACATCGTATGCCCACGATTTTTACTTTCATTCATGAGTTACACGTGGAACAAGGCTAACTTTACACGTATTGCTGGTAATTGTTTAGGTGGTCTGAAGTAGGCGATTTGTTCGTCTCAGGCAATCAACAAGTGTCCCGTGTTATGTATGTACATACTCTCTTTGACGTGCTTTAAAACGATAATCTTTCGATTTCATCCGTGTAATTGGCTGTAATATTCAGAAGTGCAAAATCACTTAGATTGCAGAGGATATGAATTGTATATAACTGGGTGTAATTTCACTTTGTAATAGGATAATGATATAATATATACTTTGCAGGAGTTATGCGGTAGATAACGAGTAGAGATAGGTTTATCATAAATAGGAAAATTGTGTGTAATTGAGAATTAAATTTTCGAACACGTTTAAAAAACAAAAGACAAGTAATACGAATTTTAGAAAAGTTAAGAAATTTTCAAAATTGCTGTGCAAAAGTTTGAACGAAAATTTATAGAACATTTGTTAAGTGAAACTTCAAAATTATATTATACGTAGAATTGTATAATAATTTACTGTTGTACGAATATCGTTCAAGCACATTCTTTTTAATTGAATTTTAACCGAATTGTTGGTCCAATTCGATTAAACTTTACCAATAAAAACAGCAGTAAGAAACTTTACACTAGGTAATGTTTAAAGGGATATTATTGCAAACTGACATTGCTAATTACAGAGATTTTAAATTTGATTAATCTAATATGCAGACACGCAAGGTGTTGTTACGCACTTTTCAATTTAACTCTTTCCAAGCAATTTCAGATTAAGGTAACTCGATCGAGTAAAGCTCGTGAAGTAATAGGATCCAGATTATGTAATTGAACTATTCCGCAATGTTGGCGATGATTTTCTTATGGATACGCTATTTTTGCGACAGATTTGTGATCTGATTTAATACCGTAGTATGTGGTCTTCGGTGTGCAGATTCGTGTACCGTCTAACTAAAATAGATGCCCGATCTATTCACTTCGGACTTCTAGGTATTCAATAGTACATATACGTGGCCTTATTTTTTTATCACCCCTATGTCACATTATGTAACAATGAAACTAAAGATTACGTTATTTCTCTTGCACCTTCGATCTCGATATTAATATCCCAATTTATAATAACAACACCGACAGTTTCAGATCTTCAGCTTGAAATTTTTTCCATTCTTCGAGACTTTCTTTTTTTTTTTTATTTCGAGCAATTTTGATCTCTCTTGAGATTATTTTGCGTTACATCGTGTGTACAGAAAATTGTCAAAGAGGTACAGTGTTTTAGACAGATAGTGAATGGGATTGCAAATCTCTACTGTGGGATTCCAGAGTATAAGGTTGTGTGACAATGGAAGAGGGTAGTTCATTTTATGTAATACTTTTGTTTTTCCCAATTTAAAAAAACAAATGAAAGATTTTATTCCGATAAAGCAAAGAGAGCATCATTTCTTTTTTAACCGCAGTTCACTTTAATAACCGAACAGTTGGAAAGATCGATTTGTTTCGTAGAATTTTCTTTATCGCAATTTAAAATATTTATGACAGTGTAATTTCACTTCGAACACGATATCGTCTCCTCTCTATTATCGTAACTTCTTCCATTACCAAGATAGGGAAGTCTCGAGTTGAGTTATCAGTTCGACTGATTTCTTTTAAGACTGCCATTGCTCCCGATTATTTCTGCGATACTAATTAACGAAGTGCGTAACCACCGGCACTTTGCATCTGGTATATGCATTGTTTCGCGTTTAATGACTTGTACGTTATACGTTTGAAAGCAGACAAATCGTTTTATCATACTTCATTGCTGGCGAACGGAAACGTCTTCTCCCTCTTGCGCAAGTTTGCGGTAAGAAATGGCAAAAGGTAGAAAAAAAGAGGGAAGCATTGCGAGAGAACCTTGTGCTGTATAAATTTTTAATCTTTCACGGTCGAAGAAAACTATAATGGACCAAATCCCGAGTCTCGTTTGTTACGGGGGAATCGTTTCTATTTTTACACGTGAACAAAATTCTTTCAGCGAATTAATCCGATGATAAACGAGACTGTAAGCTTTGTAAACGCGAATACAGATATTTGTTATGTTTTCGTATCGATCTTTATTTAAAAAAATTCTTCTCAGGTACTATCAGTTTTTCCACCACTATCTTGAAACGAATTTGCCGTTCTACTTTTCTTGCCAATGTTACGACGAGTTTGTCTTCGATTTTTGTGCAAACGATTAACGTAACAATGTAAATGAATATTTTTTATTTAGTAGAAATATTTCTGACGAAGGTTGAAAGTAGGTTTTAATGCAATTTGTTAAATAGTCGTTCTGTAAGCAAGTAACAAGTATCCTTAATTACGAGATTCAATTTAACCAGCATTCTTCCTTTATGTTTAATACTTTGGTATTAATTGCTG